TGTAAGCACACTGATCAGGATGGCTGTGCTGTGCAGTGTGCTAAACACTGCGGGGGGAGGACTGACTTTGGTGTCACTCACATCCCCAGTGACACCAATACAGTGATCAGTGCTAATAAAAAGCACTGGGTGTACTAATCACTGGGCAGGAAGGTGTTAACATGAGGGGCGATCAAAGGGTTCTGCTGGGCCCCCTTTACTAGGGGGCGGTGTGTTGGTGTGTGTAAGCACACTGATCAGGATGGCTGTGCTGTGCATTCTAACACTGGGGGGGGGGGAAAGACTGACCTTGTCACTGACATCCCCAGTGACACTTGTAATACAGCAATCAGTGCTAATAAAAAGCACTGACACTGTACTAATGGCACTGGGCAGGAATCTTTAACAAGAGGGGCGATCAAAGGGCTGTTAGATGCTTTACTGGGGGCAGTGTGTTGGTGCTTTATCACACTGTTAAGCACACTGATCAGGATGGCTGTGCATGTGCAGTGTGCCCGAGCTGAGAGGGAGGAGGACTGTTAGTAAACAAAACAGTCTTCCTCCAAGTTGGAGATGCTAGCTAATCACTGGGCGCCGGCGGGTAATCATGATTGACAGATGCGACCACAAATGGCGGCGCAGGTAGGGTGTATTGTGCGCCCCCTACCCACGCATGTATACGTGATTTTGCGCACCCGCACCGCCCTGTAGCAGTATATCTGCTATAGGATGGACGGGAAGTGGTTTAATATATAAAAAAAACTTCCTTCTTTTAACGCTGAGCTCTCACAGATTTCCTGTCTTGTACCGCATGCATGATACAGATCAGTCTCAGCTGTCCACTGACCATCGACTTACACATTCCACGCGGACAGACACAATGTCTCCATTCTACCTCTGGATGGTCGTGTTGTTGACTCTTCAGAACTGTAAGGATGTCCTCATTTTGTTTCTCTAGTCATTTATCGATCACTTTGACCATCACAGGAGATTCCATTTACTGACTTTTATAGAGTAATGAAATCCTAAAAGTAGCAGAATATTAATGGTAGATGAAGAGTTCTACTTCCTGAGCAGACAGATTGGCTAGATGACTGGGGGGGGTTTTCTTGTATCTGAAATTCATACCATGTATAGGGGATCCCTGCATTTCAAAAAGGGGGCTCACTGACACCAGGATACGTACGGGGTGTGTGTTGTGTCTGCTTTGTATTGTCTCTTACATCTACTGATCCACAGTTTGATCATTTCCCGTCCATGTCTCCCTCCAGTGGTCACCTCTAGGTCTCTGCATGATGAGGATTATCACCATATTGTTCTTTTTTTATACTTTTATGTAGGCTTTTTTTTCTTAGGTGTAGAAATATTCCCATTCTGAGTCACTTCTTGCCTCCATACTAGCCCCCACCTCCCCAACTTCCCCTGGTAACATAGATTCCATGCAGCCAGCAGCAATAGAGAACCCCCCAGCAACAAAGAGATTCCCCAGCCATTGCAACATAGATCCCCCAGCAGGCCAACATCAATGAACTCTTCAGCAGCCAGCACCACAGTTGCTAAATGGTTAGAACTTCTGCCTGCCAGTATTAGGGTCACTGTTCAAATCCCCCCCATGGCACCACCTGCCTGTATTATGTTTGCATAGTTCTCCCTGTTCCTGTGTGGGCTTCCTCCCACACTTCAAAGACATTTGTTTGATGGTAGGTAAATTGAGTGGCCTAGTATATGTATCAATGACCATTTGTAAACTTGGTCACTGCCCAAGGGCAAACTGGTCAGCAGAAACTGCGGGCCCCCCATGAGGGGCCCCTGGTACCTTTTACATAGGCTTTTTTGACATTTAGGCAAAAAAACAGGGGCCCCATGATCCCCTATTGCCCGGGGGCCCCAATGACAGTTGAAGTTGTCAGTCCGCCCCTGATCTGTATATATGTGAGTTAGGGACCTTAGATTGTACACCCTTTGAGGGTTAATGAATGTACAATATATGTAAAGTGCTGTGACAAAAATTGATGGCGCATATAAGTACCTGTAATAATTAAACCAAAAATGGGGCAATATACCCCCCCCCCTTATACCAATGATGGGGCACTATTCCTCCCACTGACACCAATGCACTATTCCTCCATGACACCAATGATGGGGCACTATTCCCATCCATTGACACCAATGATGGGGCACTATTCCCCCAGATACCAATGTGATGGGACACTTTCCAGCATCCCACTGCATACCAATGAATTCTGGAGGGGCCACTATCTCCCACTGACACCAATGATGGGGCACTATTCCTCCCACTGACACCAAATGATGGGGCACACTATTCCTCCCACTGACACCAATGATGGGGCACTATTCCTCCCACTGATACCAATGATGGGGCACTATTCCTCCCACTGACACCAATGATGGGGCACTATTCCTCCCACTGATACCAATGATGGGGCACTATTCCTCCCACTGACACCAATGATGGGGCGCTATTCCTCCCACTGACACCAATGACGGGGCACTATTCCTCCCACTGATACCAATGATGGGGCACTATTCCTCCCACTGATACCAATGATGGGGCACTATTCCTCCCACTGATACCAATGATGGGGCACTATTCCTCCCACTGATACCAATGATGGGGCACTATTCCTCCCACTGATACCAATGATGGGGCACTATTCCTCCCACTGACACCAATGATGGGGCACTATTCCTCCCACTTATACCAATGATGGGGCACTATTCCTCCCACTGATACCAATGATGGGGCACTATTCCTCCCACTGACACCAATGATGGGGCACTATTCCTCCCACTGACACCAATGATGGGGCACTATTCCTCCCACTGACACCAATGATGGGGCACTATTCCTCCCACTGATACCAATGATGGGGCACTATTCCTCCCACTGACACCAATGATGGGGCACTATTCCTCCCACTGATACCAATGATGGGGCACTATTCCTCCCACTGACACCAATGATGGGCACACTATTCCTCCCACTGATACCAATGATGGGGCACTATTCCTCCCACTTATACCAATGATGGGGCACTATTCCTCCCACTGACACCAATGATGGGCAACTATTCCTCCCACTGATACCAATGATGGGGCACTATTCCTCCCACTGATACCAATGATGGGGCAACTATTCCTCCCACTGACACCAATGATGGGGCACTATTCCTCCCACTGACACCAATGATGGGGCACTATTCCTCCCACTGATACCAATGATGGGGCACTATTCCTCCCACTGATACCAATGATGGGGCACTATTCCTCCCACTGATACCAATGATGGGGCACTATTCCTTCCACTGATACCAATGATGGGGCAACTATTCCTCCCACCAATACCAATGATGGAGCACAATTCCTTCCCACCCCACTTATACCAATGATGGGGTATTGTTTACTCCCAATGATTCTGGGGCATTTTCTACTCTCACTGGTCACAGTTTGGCCCCCTCAAAGTCTGAAAGACAGTAAACTTGCCCTTTGTTTAGAAAGTTTGGAGACCCCTGGTTTAGGTCATCATGCGGTGGATGAAATGGAGTTGCACTTTTGGATGTCTTTCATAGCAGTGGATCTCAATGCCTGGCCATGTCAGGATGGAGGATGTTGTGTCATATTTGAGGAAGATAAAATAGAAAATTTAGGAAAATGTGGATCAGCTGGTTAATTTTCAAAACATCTAAAAGATATCTGGAACTGGCTGGAATATAGGTGAAGTGGAGTTGCAAGGCACGTTTGGGTGTCTTTTACAGCAGTGTTTCTCAATGCCTGGCCATGGCCTTTCTCCTCCTGGTCTCCCAGCCATCTGCAGGTCCCCTGCCATAGTGCCTTCTATTTCTCATAGTACCACACAACTTCCCACAATGGGCCACAGTGACCCCAGGCCCCCTGAAAGACCTCAGCTCCCACAGTGCTGCTTAACCGCATATAGACCTCCCCCCAGCCCCCTGCAGTGCCCTCTAGCTTGCTGCAGAGCCTTCATAGTACCCCAAACCTCTAACAGTGTCCCACAGTACCCCCAACCTTCTAGTCTCCACAGTGCTCCATGCAAAGTCCCCAGCCTTCTATAGCCCTCCATCCCCGTTCTCTCGAAACCTCATCCCCTACAGAACCACCAAGCTGCAGAGTTCCCTAACCTCCCCCAGAACCTTCATCCTCCCCACAATGACTCCCAGCCCCATCCAGAGCCTTCAATACATATTTTAATATATTGTGTAAGTATAGACTTTTTTTTTTTTTACTGTTGGGTCATGTTGGGTTTTGTAGGAATTTACCAGGCCCTGGTCTCAGTAAGGTTGACAACCCTTGCTTTAGAGCTTCCCAGGGAGAAGGACAATGGCTAGGCCAACGTCAAAACTGCAGCTCTTGAGGGATGTTCCCGGTCTGCATTGGTCAGGACAGACCAAGGAAGAAAAACCAGCGAAAAGGGAGACAGGGCCATGGGCGGCCAAGGCTCATTGGTGCACATGGGGAGGGAAGGCTGGCCCACGTAGTCCGATCCAATAGAAGAGCTGCATATAATGAAATGTAATATGATGTAATGTCTGGTGACCGCTGACACCAAGTATTGTTCTTCTTTATCAGATGTGATGAGTGAGGACCCCTGTGAGAGAAATGTCATTGGCGCTGTGGGAGGAGCTGTCACTCTACAAGTCAGCTACACTGGGGTCAGAAAAATTATTTGGACTTTTGAAAAAACTGGTGCTGATTATCGCCACAACAAACCAGGAGAACCTGTTGATATTGACTATAAAGAGTATAAAGGAAGACTGAGCAGCACATCTGATGGATCCTTAATCATAACTGAGCCGAGACTGGAAGATCGGGGGACCTACCGGGGACAAATCACCATTGGGAAGAGATACAGATCTGCAGATACCATCTCACAGTGTTCAGTAAGTATTTATCTTTAGCAATGCCGATTTGACACCAGACACGTGATCATCTCCTGTACTGTGTCCGCAGTCTCTGGTCATCTCCTGTACTGTGTCCGCAGTCTCTGGTCATCTCCTGTACTGTGTCCGCAGTCTCTGGTCATCTCCTGTACTGTGTCCGCAGTCTCTGGTCATCTCCTGTACTGTGTCCGCAGTCTCTGGTCATCTCCTGTACTGTGTCCTCAGTCTCTGGTCATCTCCTGTACTGTGTCCGCAGTCTCTGGTCATTTCCTGTACTGTGTCCGCAGTCTCTGGTCATCTCCTGTACTGTGTCCGCAGTCTCTGGTCATCTCCTGTACTGTGTCCGCAGTCTCTGGTCATCTCCTGTACTGTGTCCGTAGTCTCTGGTCATCTCCTGTACTATGTCTGCAGTCTCTGGTCATCCCCTGTACTATGTCCGCAGTCTCTGGTCATCTCCTGTACTATGTCTGCAGTCTCTGGTCATCTCCTGTACTGTCTGCAGTCTCTGGTCATCTCCTGTACTGTGTCCGCAGTCTCTGGTCATCTCCTGTACTGTGTCAGCAGTCTCTGGTCATCTCCTGTACTGTGTCCGCAGTCTCTGGTCATCTCCTGTACTGTGTCCGCAGTCTCTGGTCATATCCTGTACTATGTCTGCAGTCTCTGGTCATCTCCTGTACTGTGTCCGCAGTCTCTGGTCATCTCCTGTACTGTGTCCGCAGTCTCTGGTCATATCCTGTACTATGTCCGCAGTCTCTGACCATCTCCTGTACTGTGTCCGCAGTCTCTCTGGTCATCTCCTGTACTATGTCTGCAGTCCATTGGTTCAGAATATTTTTTTTTCTTGTTTTCCTCCTCTAAAACCTAGGCGCGTCTTATGGAGCGAAAAATACGGTAGGTGGAGGAGTATTTGGGGGTTCTAATGGAGTTCCCGACAGAGAGAAGGAGATAGAAGGGAAGGGATACAGATATAGATGGATCATCACGGGAAAGGACAGAAACTAGGAATTTGGATATGGATTGGGGTAATTGGAGGGGGGGACAATTAAAATAAGACGATGCAAATGGAATCTCTGTATTGGTGAAGTTCTTTTTATTCTAGTATGCATTAGATACTCTTCAGTGGTATTGAAAAAAACTAATAACAGATATAATTTGAAAAAAGCCCAAAAAAAAAATGCTGATCCAACATGCTGGGTTTTTTTTTTTTACTAGAAAAATGAAACAATTGATGGCACAATTGAGACAGCTATTTTTCGTTTTTCGGTCGACAGAACGTTCGGTTTTTTATACCCATCTATGGCCGATTTTTTTAGGACGGAGTACTTAGTTATCAGAGATCTTTAACCTGGTTACCTCTCATCAGCAAAGGTCAATTCCCTGCTTATTAGCAGAGAAGAAACAGCATAGCGATGACCTCATCTGTCTGTCACTCTGCTCTCCTCTCCTCCTATCAGCATGCTCCTTGTTAGCAAATGAGCCTACAACACAACTGATTGGCGTCTTGCTCTCCCTTTCTTAGCTCCGCTGTAATGGGAATGTAAGAGGCTGATCAAGGAGCCAAATAAAACATGTTTAAGGCTACTTTCACATAGAGGAGACAGCAAGCGCTTTTGCGTTCAGAAACGTTCTTCCCTATGAATGTCTATGTATGTGGTTATTCGCAAATTTTGGAAAAATTCAAAAATAACCATCAGTCACCCTCGATCTGTAGCTCAATGCAAGATTTCGCCTCATGGGGGTAAGGATGTTCATAAGAAAAGTGAGAGATCAGTCCAGAACTACACAGGAGGAGCTTGTGAAGCATCTCAAGGCAGTTGGGACCACAGTCATCAAACAAACCATTGGTAACCAGGGGCGGACTGACAACTCATGGGGCCCCGGGCAATAGGGGATCATGGGGCTCCTGTGTCCTTGCCCAAACTCAAAAAAGCCTATGAAAAAGGTACCAGGGGCATCTCATGGGGCCCCCTACTGACCCCCGGGCCCTCGGGCAGTGTGCCCGAGTTTCCAAATGGTCAGTCCGCCCCTGTTGGTAACACAATACACCCCCATGGATTGAAATCCTGCAGTGCCTGCAAGGTCCCCCTCCTCAAGAAGGCACATGTACAGGCCCATCTGAAGTTTGCCAATGAACATCTAAATGGTTCAGAGAAGGATTGGGAGAAAGTGCTGTGGTCAGATGAGACCAAAAATGAGCTCTTTGGCATTAACTCAACTCACCGTGTTTGGAGGAAGAAAAATGCTGACTATGACCCTAGTAACACCATCCCTACAGTCAAGCACGGAGGTGGAAACATTATGTTTTGGGGCTGCTTCTCTGCTAAAGATACAGACCGACTTTGCCGCATTGAGGGGCCAATGAACGGGGCCCATGTATTTATTGTAAAATCTTGGATGAGAACCTTTTCCCCTCAGCCAGAACACTGAAGATGGGTCATGAATGGGTCTTCCAGCATGACAATGACCCAAAACATACAGCCAAGGCAGCAAAGAAGTGTCTCAAGAAGAAGCACATTAAGGTCATGGAGCCTCCAGACCTTAATCCTATAGAAAATATATGGAGGGAGCTGAAACTTTGAGTTGTCAAGTGACGGTCAAGAAACCTTAAGGATTTAGAGATCTGTAAAGAAGAGTGGACCAAAATCCCTCCTGAGATGTGTACAAACCTGGCAACCAACTACAAGAAACGTCTTACTTCTGTACGTGCCATCAAGGGTTCCTCCACCAAGTATGAAGTCATGTTTTGCTTGGGGATCAAATACTTATTTTGCTCACTGAACTGCAACTCAATTTATAACATTTGTATCATGTGTGTTTTTTTTTCTGGATTTTTGGTTGATATTCTGTCTCTATCATTTAAAATACAAAAGCCACAGGGCCCTAGTGGTCCTTTAATTTTCCCATTTAGCATTCTTCAAAACAAAAAAATTGTAATATTCATGGATTTTACATAATTAATAATGACATTTGTAGCGCCAGGGTTTAGGAGTTGTAATAACTTTCCGAGAGACGTTTACAATGTTTATTGCTCCCATCCTCCAGGTAACTTAACAGTTGAGGATATCGCCATCATCTCCAATGTGACGGATAATAAGGACGTGTGAGGTCATCTTGGGATGTTCAGTAAATGGAAGCAATGTGACCGTCGCCTGGAGGAGTGTAAACAGCTGTGACATTACCCCGACACAGAATGTTGTGTTTGTACCTCCCAGTAATATCAACTTTACCTATATATGTACAGCAGAAAATCCAGTCAGTAAAGCCTCGAAAAGCTATCCTCCCTGGTCATACTGCAGGACCGGTAAGTACATTTACAAGTCTCTTCATTTTGGAAAGTTCAGAACTTAATTCAAATTTCAGTAAATTTTCAGGAGTACATTTTCACCTAATAAACAAAATATTATTTACACATGTAACACCCCCCAGGCTTAACTAGGGAGTTTTGTTATTTCATTTTTTTTTTTTTTAGATAGAGGCTGAGTAGCAGCCTGGGATGGGTCAGCCTAGGAGTGAGGCAGAAGTTCACCTCAGGACAGGTTAGGGAGGTTCTGCAGGTCAGGGCTTCTGGAGCCCTCTCACCTTCCAGAAACTAGAGAACTTTCTGGAAGAGGGGTGGTGGAGGGGAGGAAGCTCAGATATGCATGTTTGAGGGACCCTGGCCAATCCCCTGGCAGGAGGCTGGGTGAGGTGTCCAGGGCAACCCTTAAATATGACAGAGACTGGGGAGTAGTGGGCAGTGCAGGGTGGAAGATGGAGTGGGGAAGGCTTGAGTGTGTAGCCTGAGAGGGGGCCCCAGGGAGGGGAGCCTACCTGCAGGCAGGATGCTGGAGAGGAGGATCTCCTCTGCTTCAACGTCCAGCCTGAGCAACAGGGAAGGAGCCAGCCCAGCATGAGGCCTGAAGGCAGCAACCAACCCACTAAGCTAGCAGGAGAGAACAGTGTCATTACTCCTACACCCCCTGGGACAGATAAGGGAGAGGGCGGTGTCAAGGTGTACCTTTTCCCAGAGGTTATGTTGCTCCCATGTGCTAGCATCCATCTTGGGATTTCAATGCTGAGCATGATGGGAATCTTTTATGCTTCAGGTCTCTGGGTCCATCCCCCAGAGGGGTGTGGCTGGGTCATATAAAGCCTGGGATCTCACATGCTCTAAGGCACCAAGGAGCCTTTGTGCTCTTTAAGAAGAGACAGTTGCTATCTGCATTTTTGGTATTCTAGTTGCTCAGAAGTTGTTCTAAAGTTCTTCAGGTGTTTCCTTGGATCCCATATGAACCCGGCCCGTAGACCCCATTCAAATTGTTAACCCCTAATAAAAAAAAAACCCGTTGTTATTGACCCGGCTCAAGGACTGCTTTACTGTCTTCAAGTGTACAGGTGGCGGCGGCATGTTACCTGCAGCTGGGGTGCAGAGCCGCGACCTGGGTTGCGTCAAGTCAGAACCATCAGGGGCCCTGGTGAAGGGCAGCCTAGTGCTTAGACACCTATACCTGAGGGACTTCAGTCTGTTGTGGTTTGTCGTCTGCCAGTGATTGAGATTACCCTGCTATGTCCTTTTCTGTGTTCAACATACCCTGAAATGTCTGTTTGTAGTTGGAATACCCAAGACTTGTTTGTATTTCCTCCTACCCCAATGTCTCCGTGGTTTAGGGTGTGACAACTAATATTTCTACTTTTAAGCACCATCTTTGATCAGGTAAGGATCCAGGTACACCATCTACCTTCCTGGACTGAGATAGACTGCTCAGAGTCTTCACAGTGATGTAAACCTTGGTGCCTGTGCCATTCTTGGCTGTCTTCACAGATAGACCCTTGCTGCAGTCTCATGTTGTTGTCTTGCTAAAAAAAAATTACAATGTACAGTCTGAGTGATCACTGGGTGTATGTGTGATATGTAGGGGATTTATACCAACAGAGGTCCACTTTGACCGAACACACTACTACCATCAAAACTTAAAACAACAATCAACTGACCCATTTGCAAAGGTTACATGAGATGAACAAAACCTAAGCAATGAGCAGTCAGGAAATTGGCAACTTCAGAAGGACGTCAGCAATGGCATCCATGTTTTTGTCAGGAAAGTTTTCCTGTGACCCCCTCACCAGTCATCCAAGCCTCATATTTATATGATACTCACTAGAATCTGAATCTAAACTGTCTTTCCTGCAAGAGATCATATCCCCCCCTTATATATTATACATGGAGATCATATCCCCCCTTATGTATTATACATGGAGATCATATCCCCCTTATGTATTATACATGATGTTCATAATCCCCCCTTAT